CTGATATTTTTGTAGCAAGTGAGCCGTATCTTATTAAGTGATAATAAGGATTCGTATACAACACGCTTCAACTACCTGGCCGGAGGCCGTTCGTCTATAGCAATAAGAAGAGCTAAGATAAATGCTAGAATGCTAGGGAGAATAAGTCGCCAACTCTTTACAGTGAAATATATGCTACAAAGTACTACTTATACTACCAAGGGGTAGGTAGATCTGCTTACGTGGAGGGCTGTGGATGGCTAGGTTCCCAACCACCAAATTTTCAGCATTAAATATGTCTCCCGCCAATATCTTGGTTTCCCACCAAGTTATGTGGACGAGCGTCCCCAGGATCTTGGGCCTTCTGCCGGGATGGAGCAAGGGGTAGAAGCCGAGCGCCTTCTGTGTGTCATCTGGCTGCGGGCGTCAGATTGCCACTTAGAACAATAATGGGCTAAAGGCCACAGAGGCCGATCGTCTTACTGGGACAGACGAACGGTGTACTAAACCTTGGCCCACTGCAGTCAACTTCTCTCGTGGGTTGTGAAGTCTGAAGACGAGCGTCTTGGGACCTTCTCTTGTTGGGGCCTTGATGCTCTTCATTAAGGGGATAATGGGCCGATCCGCGATTGGGTCATTAACTCAACAAATCGATAGTTGGGATTATTATGAGGAGACTGTCAATAATTGATATTATTAGGGAAAATGTATAAATATACCCCTGTAGTATGAGAGTGTAAGAACAAATATATCCATGTTCTATTTTTGGGAACAAATATACCCTAAAGTTTATGTAGAAGTGTATATACCCCTAAACTTTTAAAAGGTGAAAAATACCCCTGATGTTCTTATAAAGAAGCAAATTTAAACTTATTCGCTTTACATAAATAAAATAAAATTTAAAAAACACTAAAAATAAATTATAAATTCGTGATTGAATAATAAAAAGATTAAAGAGTTAAAATAAAGATTTATTTTTATGTTAAAATATTAACTCTTTAATTTAAATTGAAAAAATATTAATTTTCCGTTGTAAATGAAGCACTTCAAATTCATAAATATTAAATTTAGTCTTGTGAAATTTTGAACACATTGTTACATTTTTTAATAACATTCCTTAATTTTGTTTAATCTTAATAAAATTAAATTCAGTGTTTTTTCTAATCTTGGATGATTTGTCATCATACAAATTATGTGATTTTATAGCGCAAAGAATATAAAAAAATTATTATTTTTCTACATTAATTATTGCAATAGATATGTTAACCCTTTTGCGAAAGAATATAATCTTAAATGTATAGTAAAGTTTTGAAATATTATTGTATACTGTCAATATTAAATGAAGATATAAAAATAATAAAATGGAGAATTGGACACAAGTAGATTATTAAATTTTTTATTTTTCAATTTAAATTATTTTTGTTTTTTAACTTTATTTTATCTATTTATAATCAATAAAGGTAAATTTGCTCCTGTATAGGAACATGAGTGGTATTTTTACACATTTTAAAAGTTCAAGAGTATATATGCACTTCCACATAAAATACAGAGGTATATTTGTTCCAAAAAATAGAACATGAGTATATTTGTTCACAAACTCATACTACAAGAGTATATTTGTATATTTTTCCGATATTATTATTATTATTTCAAATTTTCCTAAATAAAATCTATAGAGGTACCCGCGCCCCGCATGCACTTGCAAAGGACAATGGGGTGAGGCTATGAATGATGTGGGCGAGGCCATAGCAGACGCCTTTTGTTCAATAGAACACCCAAAATTTTGAATATAAAAAGTAAGAATTGATATATAACTGATATATTGCATTTTTATATACTCCGTCGTATTTATTACCAATTAAACCTATATGCTAGTTTTTTATTGTTGAAAAAACGACATTTTTTATCGTCCAAAATAGTTTTAAACATCCGACATTTGATTGCAATGTCCGCCACTAAGGGGTGCTTGAATATGTTTCTTAAAACTGCTTTTGGTCCTTTAGAGAACAGAAATAGATATTGGACTGTTTGGATGAAAGTGAAGAAGGATTTCTGAGTGCTCCAAATTACTCCTAGAAGCGGTTTTTTAGAAGTTAGGGAGACTAGCTTATGCTTTTAAAAAAGCAGAAGTAGAATCAGTTCAGTTCCAAACACCCCTAAGCATTAAACAATTTTTGGAAATTGTCCTAAATAGGACAAATGAGTTCTTAAAAAGCACAAATAGAACTACTACTTTTTAAATAAGGACTAAACATTGATTTTCTACCCTAAATACCCCTAAGAGTACTAATCCATAATGAAATGCTTTTATTCATAATAAAATCATAAAAAAATATTAAAATCTTAAAAATATTATAAAAAATTAATATAAATATTTATAGAATAAAACTTTAATTTTTTTAAAAAATAATAAAAAATAGTAAATACCCATAAAAATTAAAAAAATTATGGATACCTTTCCCACCGCCTCCCGCCACCTCCCGCCGCCTCCCAGCACCACCACCTCCGGTTGGTGAAATTTCTTTCACTTTTGGTCAAGAAAATGTCATCTTTTCCTGAAAATGCCAAAAAGGTGGCATAATTACTCTTTAATATGCCAACATTTTCAATGAATATGCCATCATTATGGCATTATTTAAAATGTTGGCAGATTTTTCTCCGGTGATGGGAGCTGGGGGTGGCAGAGGTGGCAATGTTATTTTTTTAATTTTACATTTTTTTTTTAATTTTACAATTTTTTTAAATTTTTTTTTATTTCATAAATATTTTATTATTTTTTTTGCGATTTTTTATTATTTTTTTTACGATTTTTATTAATTTTGTATGATTTTATTATTAATTAAAACATTTCAAAAGCTACAAAGGTATATTTATCCAAACACATATAAATAGTCCTATTAAGGGAATTTAAAAAATGTAGTCTTATTTGTGCAATTTTGTCACTTTTTTTTGTCCTATTTAAGGAATTGACTCAACAATTTTTAGACACTATTCTAATTTTCTTTATTAAAATTAAAATCAGCGGTATGCATGGTAGAAAAGACAAGTAAAAATAAGCCGAGGCAAATCACAAATGAAATGGGTGTGTAGAAGTAGAATGGTTGTTCGAAATTCATTGTAAAAGTGTTTTTTTTAAAATAAAATAATGGATGTCTCATGTCCTATGAAGCACGGATACTTCTCTAGAGTAGCGTATCGGCGTATCGGATACATTCCCGTATCCGATACTCTAGGATACCCGGGCCGTACGTTCCCGGGCCGTATCTGTAATTTTTAAAAGTTTCCATTTTTTTTGTAATTTTTTGAAAGTTTCCGATACTCGTATCCTGACGGATACCCGTATCAACTTTTAAAAAAAAAAATCCCAAAATTTACTTAATAAAATTCTAAAAAAAAATAAAAACCTAAAACTACATTTTACTTGGTAATCAAATAATGGGCCTATATGACTATATCCGAATTAAGTCATTAACTCATACTTCGAAGTGGGTACTTGCACTTTTAATTTCAAGATTGTAGTTGTTTGACTTATTTCTCATTTTAAATTAATGACTTATTGACTACATTTATATTTCGAGATGCACTAGTGTACATGAGAAATATTATGAATTTATTACTAAATATCTTGAAAAAGGAAAATGCTTCAATGCAATGAATGGGTAGACATCATAGGATATTATATGTGTGTGTGTGTATATTAAAAAAAAATAATCTATTTTTAATATTTATAAATAGACCCCTATAACTTTTAATATTTGTAAATACACCACCATAACTTTTAATATTTATAAACATGGCCACGTATCCGTATCCTACTTTTTTTGGTTTTGACGTATCCCCGTACCCATTTCCGCGTACTGGTATCGGTGCTACATAGCTCATGTCTTTTTCTTTTCCGAACTGCTAAATCCCTTTACGCTTCAAATTAGTCTATCTAGGGGTGGGCAAAAATACTGAACCGGCATGGTACCGAAACGAACCGGTATGGTACCGGATCGAAAAACGGGGTTTGAAACGGATCTCGAATTTTTTGTCCCGTACCAGACCGTACCGGTTCAAAGCAATGCCATGGCCGGTTCTCATAAAATGAGAACCGGTACCGGACCGGACCTGACCGGACCGAAGTATGATTAATTATTTAAATTTATATTTATATCATTACTTTGACTAGTGTCTTCACACTTTCACTGTCTTTGCTAGTTCATATGAAGTCAGGAACCGGACCGATGTATGGTTTAATTAATTATTTAAATTTGTACTACTATAGTTTATCTGAAATTTATTATTATGTAATACTACCACTGTCCCAAATTAATTTACAAAATTAATTTTTCTTGGTCAAATAGTTTCATTTTATTCACTTAATTAGGATGTCAATTTTTAATTATATTTAATTTGAAGTTTGCAACTTTGAAGAGATTTAATGTAGTTTCTGAATATGTAAATTTTAATTGTTAAAAATTAAATTAATTACCGATAAAGGGGATTTAACATTGGTTGACAAAAAAAGTATTGACTTTGCATATCAATTTGGGATAAATTATGTGAATTTTTGAAGGATGACTAAAATTTACTTTCCCATTAAACATTTGGAAAAAATGACATTGTTTAGTATTGGTATGGCATGGTACCGCCCCGTTTGAAAATGGAACCGCACCGAACGGGTTTAGGTCTAAGACCGAACCGAATCGAACCGAACCGTTTGAATAGTAACGGTACGGGTACGGGTTCTGCCAAATATTGGACCGTACAGGACCGCGCCACCCCTAAGTCTATCGTTTTCAATTGTAGTAAATGGTCAGTTTGGTCCTCGAAGTTGCAAAAAAAGCGTCAAATAAGTCCTTCTATAGAAGATTCTGTCCGGACGTGCCATTTGAGGTGGCTCCCGGTGGAATTTTTTGATTAAATTTTTCGAGCATCTTATTCATTAAGTCTAGTTTACTCATACCAAATTTCAGATAAAAATTCAATCGGGAAGACATTCAAATTTTTCTAGCATTTTATTTCACTGTTTCCTACAATGGTTAATCATTCAGAACTCAGAACTGCACTAAGATGGAAGTGGTGGGATTGCTGAGCAACCTCACTCCGTTGAAAACAGATGCGCAGCTCCGGAATTCTCGCCCAATCCCATCTTTCCGGCATTATCTCACCGTCAGAGCTTCTCTTAACCAATCTCAGGTAACCAGATTCCATTTTTATTTATTACCAAATCTTCGTTCTATATTCCTGTTCGTGAAAATTTCAAGGAAGGAAGTTACGGAGGGCCAAAGACGAGGAGGGAATGGGTGGCTCATTGGGTGTCCAACAAGGACGGGGCCGTTCGGAGTGTGCCAGTATATGTTGGGGGGGTCTCCTTATTGGCCGTTCTCGTCAATCGCGCCATCTCTGGCATTGCGCCCGTAGCTGATGCCAGCAGGTCACTCCGGCCACTTCATCTTTTCATGTCCGTTGTTGTTTCATGTAATTGTTTGATTATTTGATGCTTAATTTAAGTTTTATTTAAACCTCCTCTTAACTGATAACGCCATCTATAGTTGTTTCTTTAATTTTCTTTTTGGGATGTGTTAATAACAGGATTAATATGAAAATGGAAATATCATATTTTTCAAAAGATTCCTGGATATACATCACATTGTGTGATAAGTGATCGGGTCAATAATCTCCTACCGCAGTTAGATGTGCAATCTTGTGAATAGTGCATACTAAAAGAGATCTAAATAGTGATGATCTCCTTGATCTAGCTATAGAAATAATAATCAAATAATATTAAAATTTGACAATAACTCAAGATCATTCAGCTTGGTGGCTAGCACTTGATTGGCTTCGGGCATTTCGCGATGCTTGAAATATGGAACTTTTGAATTGCATGATGTGGCCACTGATGTTCTAGCATAGGTGTTGGTGAGTGTGGTATTTGTGTACTAAAGGTTTAAGAGGAGGAAAGAAAGGGAACGGGGAAGGTGACCAAGAGCCAATAATGGAGTTAATGAGCAACTGGTCTGGGCACATCCACCCAAGGAGCTTGTTTGGACCATTAAACTGCTGGAGCTGTGGCTGTTGGTGGATATGCTATTTCAAGTTGGCAGGTAGCAGGGTGCTTTTCCATTGACGTAGCTCATAGTCATATTAAAGATAGTTTTAAACTGAAATTTCCATGTTGGTGGCAGTCACTTTGGGAGCAGATTGCGCCATGAAATTAATAGTTACCAGTTGCTCTTCTAACATAAATTCTTTTGGCCAGTGTTGTTCTCATAATTGGTATAATGCTGGTATGTGCTTACATTTTTGGGAACTGTAGAAGAGATTAAGGAGCAATGAATTGCTATAGACCATATTTAGATGTGTTGTAGTCGGAATACCATGTAAAGATAATATGAAAACAGAATAATTATAAATTCTTCATTTATTCACAAACTTGCTGTACGGCCGCATAAATAGTATTTGGGTGTTTGGAGCAAGCCAACAATCTCTTTTCATGGTGAGATGTGTGATTAATTATATATTTGTAAATTGTAACTGCTCAAGGGATCTTAATAGTGGTAATGGGAAAAGGTACAAATATACGCTTCTAGTATGGGTGTTGATCAAATATACCCATGTTCTATTTTTTGGAACAAATATACCCCTGAAGTTTATGTGGAAGTACATATATACCCCTGAACTTTTAAAAAGTGCAAAAATGCCCCTCATGTTCCTATAAAAAAGCAAATTTACCCTTATTGACTTTAAATATATAAAATAAATTTCTAAAAACACAAAAAATAAATTATAAATTTGAAATTTAAAAATAAAATAAAAATAAAAAACTACTTGTGTCCAATTCTCCATTTTATTAATTTTAGATCACCATTTAATATTGTTAGTATAAAATTTACTCTATATTTAAGATTCTTTCGGAAAAGTGTTAACATATGTGTTGCATTGTAAAAAATATATTAATTTCTCATATTCTTTGCACTATAAAATTACATTTTTTGTATGATGATAAATAGTCCAAGATTACAAAATAGTAATTTTTTTATTAAGGTTAAATAAAATCAAAGAATGTTATTTCAAAAAATGTAACAATGTTCAAATTTTGCAACAAGTCTAAAATTAATACTTCCTCCGTTCCTTTTTAATTGCAACAGTCAACATTTCACGTTTGCCAACGCACAAGTTTGACCATTAATATCTTTCATTCCTTATTAGTAAAAAATTCAAAAAATTCATATTTTGAAAATTTAGAATGAGAAGAATTTAATAATATTTTTAAAAAAATTAATTTATAATACATTAATGAATAAAATATAGTCAAAGTAGAATATGTGAATAGTGCAAAAAGTCCAATGTTGCGATTAAAAGAGAACGGAGGATAGTACTTATGAATTTCAAGTGCTTCATTTACAACGGAAAAAATAATAATTTTGCTATTTAAAATTAAAGACTTAATATTTTAACATAAAAATAAATCTTTATTTCGAACTCTTTAATTTTTTATTTTTTAATTTAGAATGTATAATTTATTTTTAGTGTTGTAAAATTTACTTTTTATTTATTCAAAGTTAATAAGGATAAATTTGCTCCTTTATATGAACATGAGAGGTATTTTTTCACCTTTTAAGAGTTCAGGGGTATATATGCACCTCCACATAAACTTCAGGGGTATATTTGTTCCGAAAAATAGAACAGGGGTATATTTGTTCTCACACCCATACTAGAAGGGTATATTTATACCTTTTCCCTAGTGGTAATCCCCAATTTACATATACAGTAGAAATGTTTATTCCTTATTGTTCTAGACCTGATTTTGTAAACTGATGCTTTTAGAATTAATTTGGATGATAAAAGGGATAAATTGCCATTGGACTATAAGATATTCTGTTTGTTATTTGATTTGTGTTATGAAAGGGGGGAAATGATTTGGTTGTAAATTAAAGAGTTTTAGTATGATAAATCTCAAAGGTATTGATCAGTGGCTACTATACTATTGAAATGGAAAAATTGACAGTGTTTGATAATTGATATACTTTAGTAGCGAGCAACTCTTCTTTGATGTACTGTTGGTTAAGGTTTAGTCGTTTAGATTTCTAATATATAATCGAGGAAATATAATAGGGGGAAATAAGTTCTTTTTTTGGAATTTTCTTTTGCCAAGGGGCTGAGCTTCCAATCATATAACAACAGTATGTACTGACGTGCATATGATTAAGGTGTTAATGTGTTATGTGATTTACAATTATTCACTTTAAGAACATTGTTGGACATTTTGAAGCTCTTTTGGGTGTGTTTAATTTCTTGACAATTTATCAGATTCTTGATCTTACTATTGCCTTATGACATATCACAGTTCACAATCCAGAGCAGATTTGTTAACAATTGGATTGGCTGTTACCAACATCTTGAATGGTCTCGTGTGGCTCTCCATCAAACCAAAGTCAATATCTGTTGTGAGTGACCAAAGTTCTGCTACAATTTGAGTGTATTTCTATATCTTGTTGTTGAATTTGGCCTGGGTCAGCCCAAAAGAATCGTCAAGAGGTGGAGTACGTATATACCAAACTCAAACTCATGATATTCAACACATCCCATCTTTAGCTCAAGCCTAACTGGGCAACTGAAGGGGTAGAAAAAATGCTTCCAAAGTGACTCCCAAACAGGCTGCCCTACACATGTGATACTAATTTAATAAGAAATTGCAACAATAGGACCAAAACATGGACAATGTGCAAAATAGGATTAAGGGGGTGTTTGGCAAAATAGCAGTTCGTAAAATAGTGTTTGATTAAATGGCTGTTTACAATCAGTTGATAACTTGTTAAATGACTATTAAGGGCATCAATTAATTTTTAGTTTCAATTATTATTATTTTTATTATTTTTGTGGAGAATTATTATTATTATTAAGAATATTATTATCACTATTATTATTATTATTATTATTATTATTATTATTATTATTATTATTATTATTATTATTATTATTATTATTATTATTATTATTATTATTATTATTATTATTATTATTATTATTATTATTATTATTATTATTATTATTATTATTATTATTATTATTATTATTATTATTATTATTATTATTATTATTATTATTATTATTATTATTATTATTATTATTATTATTATTATTATTATTATTATTATTATTATTATTATTATTATTATTATTATTATTATTATTATTATTATTATTATTATTATTATTATTATTATTATTATTATTATTATTATTATTATTATTATTATTATTATTATTATTATTATTATTATTATTATTATTATTATTATTATTATTATTATTATTATTATTATTATTATTATTATTATTATTATTATTATTATTATTATTATTATTATTATTATTATTATTATTATTATTATTATTATTATTATTATTATTATTATTATTATTATTATTATTATTATTATTATTATTATTATTATTATTATTATTATTATTATTATTATTATTATTATTATTATTATTATTATTATTATTATTATTATTATTATTATTATTATTATTATTATTATTATTATTATTATTATTATTATTATTATTATTATTATTATTATTATTATTATTATTATTATTATTATTATTATTATTATTATTATTATTATTATTATTATTATTATTATTATTATTATTATTATTATTATTATTATTATTATTATTATTATTATTATTATTATTATTATTATTATTATTATTATTATTATTATTATTATTATTATTATTATTATTATTATTATTATTATTATTATTATTATTATTATTATTATTATTATTATTATTTTGGCATAAAAGGTACATAGTATATTTTAATTAATGCACAAAACATGAAACTTCTTCAGAAGACTTTCCCTGCTACAAGAGTAATTCAAGCTAAATTAAAAAAAAGTTAGAAAATACTCTTTCTCTAATACTTGTCTCTCTTTCCATTTTGGGATGCTCTCTAATAGTTGTCTCCCTTTCCATTTTTAGAAAGTTTTATCAATAAATATACCTTTATACCCTCATTCTCTTTCCTACGTTTTCATTCTCTTTCCTACTTTTTCATTTAAACAAACACACTACACATTTTCTCTTACCCCTATTAATTCCTTCTTAAAACTTGTGCCAAAGTCTATACTCCCATCTATTAGAGAATGAAGGGAGTAATATTTTATTGAATTCATGCTTCCTCCCTGTATTGCTCTTTTTCTCTTCGGTGGAATGTTGAAGACTAGGGTGGGGTGGTTTTTCTCTTTCATGTGTGGAAGACTAAGAAGAGGCAGACAGGGAAAGTAAGGGCCATGGCTAGCATGAGTAGTAAAGGAAAACCAAGGAAACGCCGTTTGGAAACGCCACAATTTTAGCTTTTAACATTTTGGTTGTTTGGGATAAAAAGCCAAATGAAAAAGCCATTGAACCAAACACTTTTTTTAGCTGATTGATCCGGTCAAAAGGCCAATATTAGTCAAATCAGCCAAAAGTTGGCTGATAGGCTGCTAACCAAACACCCCCTAATATGACTTATTTAGTCCTATTAAAAGAATAAAACAGTAAAAACTTTCCAAACTAGGAGTGAATGAGTCCTATTTGGGGAAGAAAACAATGACAGTCCTATTTGAGGAATCGTGCTACGTTTCACTCCTATTTAAGGAATTTCCTCTGATTTAGTTGGGCTGAACTCATGTCAAAAGAATCCAAAGGGGATGTGTTCTTCAAACATATTTGCTGTACTCGAATTCAGTAGAGAACCTATGTAAAAGGGGTTAGGCCTCTTCCAGACTTTCGCAATCTGCATCCTTATCCAAGACTCCAATGCCTCATGGCAGTGGTGCAAAGGATGCCAAATGGTGGGATACACACCAATATTACACCTACTGATATTTTAAGCTTGATGGTTTCAGGTAGATCCTATAGGTGTGGATTGCCAAAAAATTGCTTCTGGTGTTCCTGCGCTTGTAATTTCTGAATTGCTTTGGTACTTGCCTGATTGTTAAAAATATCCCATGAATCGTTTTGTTCTGTTTGTATGCCTGGTTAGTCCTGGCCTTTGAAATGATGGCAATGTGAAATCCTATGTTTCTATATTCCGTTAATATCATATCTTTTCTTTTTTGACTCTTCATAGGGCATGGGATTCTCTATCAAATGTGACATGCTGCAGGTCTCTAATTATTGTTTATGATAGCAAATGTATCTCTCAAATGGGAATTTCTTCTGTCTCTTCATCTGATGGAGCAATCCCTGTTGACGCTAAAAAATTGATGCAAGGGTCACTTTATCAAGATGTTACGAAGTCTGGATCACGTAAGTGTATGCAGCATAAAGTGTAACCCAAGGTAGTCAAACTCGAGATCCTACGTAGGATCGTATAGGGGCTTGAAGATCGTAAATCGTAGGATCGTGACTCGAATCGTAAGATCCTACCATATACGTTATATGTATATGTGTGTGTATATATATATTAGTAATAATTAGACATGAAAATAATTCATACTACATATATAATATTATATAGTTATAATCAGGTATTGAATATAATTCATCAATAATAATCATACTAAGATATTTAGAATATAATACCCAATACTTCAGATATTATAATAAAATAATAATAATAATAATAATAATAATAATAATAAATTATAGTAACAAGGCTAACAGCTGACATTAAATTAAAGTAGTATATTATTAAAAAATATAGTACTGCACTACTGCGTAATAATTTAACATACCTATTGGTGTAATAATACTATTTAAAACTTAATACGAAGTAGTAGTATAATAAAATAGAAATAATGAGTGCTTAATACTATTGGCCTAGAGATCGATTCAAGATAACAAGGCGACGCAAAGAGATGCGGTCTTTTTGCCGACAGCTGAGCCGCTGAGGTGAAGATAACAAGGTCGCTAATACTCGGTCTTTTTTGCCGACGATACCTTATCCTGAAGCCTTTAGAATTCTAAGACAACTAGTCGCTATTGACCTGCGATTCCACGAGTTTGCGGTTCTGCACGGGCGATCTCGTCGATTCTAGTATTTTACTATCTTTATCAAAACCAGGATCGTCATGAGTAGTAGAGATCGTATAATCGTACGATCCTACGTGCAAGATCGCGATTTTGACTACCCCCACTTTTGCTCTATTTCCCTTGTAATGGTCTATAGGGGCAGGTTGGATCCTGGAGAAACTCGGGAATAAAACTCAATAAATTTATTTTAGATATGTTTTGATTCTCATTTTTTAATGTCTAATATATATGAACAACAAAATATAGGAAAATTAGAAGTAAAGAAAATGTAGATTAAAATTAAGATAGGTTAAAACTCAATAAATTTATTTTAGATGTTTGTTGATACTCATTTTATTTATGTCTAATATATAATAACTAAAGAGTAGGTAAAAATTAAAACTCGAATCATATAAAATGTTTTTAGTTTAAAATTGATTTAACTTTTTAATTATAATCCAAATTTATAAAAAATTATAATAAGTTAAATAATTTTTTATTATCTTTCATATGACACCAATATTGCAATATATAATTTAAAAAAATTAAGTATAATATGTATACATTAAATCACACGAAGCATCTCCAGCTACCGCACTCACAAGAACATGTATCTAATACACAACCATCAATATCTAATGCACATAGTTTGTATATAAAGCACCATAACAAATATCTCAATCACAAAAAGTAGTACATGACGCAAAATAATTAAGAACTAATATCTAACACATAAGGACTTCATATAGTACACACGAACTAGTATCTAATGCACAATATGTATACACTTTAGAGAACTCGTATCTAGCACATAATATGGACATAGAAAATCACAACAAGTATGTCATGCACAAGAACCAATATCTAACACAAAACCTCACATATGTAACAAACATGAACCGGTATCTAACTCACAACCCATTTATATGTTATGCACATTAACCTATATCTAACTCACATTTCGTATACAACATAAAAATTAAAATATTTGTCAAATAATATAACTATGATATGATGAATAACAATAACGAAGAAATATGATTCCATAATAATATTCCTTCTAAAAATAAAATAAAATAAAATAAAAAGGAAAGATATTTTTTTTCCTTATCTTTTTTACTCACAAACAATATTTCCCTTACGGCCTTACAAGATGCAAAAGTTTCTGTAATTCTATATATGCGCATGTAAGTCCACGTGTAAATACAATACATTATTTAATATATGGAATTTAATGTTTCCACTACTAAAACGTTTGAATGTATTAACTGAAAGATCAGTTATATAAACTGCTAACAAGTATAAGAAGTATAAAAAGACGTAAATACCCTCTACTACCCTTTACTTGATCGCAGATCGGGATATATTTTGGATGGTTGAGATTTGTTCTCACTTTTTACGTTAAGGACTGACCAGAAGTGCTGTGCGGCAGTCTCTGTTTGAGTGGCTTGTCGGTGGTTTTTTTATGAAATTTTGTAAACATGTTCTTCATGAAGTGTAGGTTATCTTCACAAAATTTTAGCATAAAATTGAATCGGGAAGTCAGTTAAATAAATTGTTGAAAAACACTGCGTTTTTTATGCATATTTTTGCGCAGCGTGTTTCAATAATTTATTTAACTGACTTCCTGGTTGAAATTTATGCTGAAATTTTGTGGAGATAATCTATACTTCATGAAGAACATACTCGCAAATTTTCATCAAAAAGTTCCACCTGGAAGCCTCTCCAACAGCGTCGGCCGCACGGCACTTCCGGTCAGTCCGGTTGTATGAGAATATTCCTATATATATAATAAAAAGGAGAAAACATAAGAAGATCCTAGCGTATTAGGTGATGCTAACATACCTTGAAGATGTGCACTTGATTCTGTGTGCATGATGATATATAAATTTACTTTTCAGAGAGGTATTTGGCCAACTTATCTCTGTACCCCGGGAAGTCAGAGTTACCCTTTTTGCCTTTGAATACACAGGTATTAGAAGTGTTGATTGTGTTCTTTATTTTGTTGACTGACTTGACTCAATTATTGTTGATCACCAATTTATATGTTCTTGTATAGGAAGAATCACATTGATCTTTCTTTATTCAAAGCTTGGTATTATGGGTTTCTGAGTGTGTGATTTCTTGACCATTTTCATGACTCGTGAAAATGTTTTTGCTAATGATATAATGTTTTCCTTAGTCTGTAATCTTGCAACCTGTTGGAGAAAAAGGAATTGCCATAATTGGTGGTAATGTAGTCCGAGGATTTACAACTTCAGATCAGGTAAATAATTACCATTCATTTTTCTAACCATCATGTGTCGAATTTACTTGAGAAAGAAGACTGCGAAATCCACTATGTCAACATTGAGCACATGGTGCTTTTATATAGAATTATCGTCACTTGTTGTCGTATGGAAATTAAGGCACTCCTGCCTGTTGTCCCTTCAAATGACAGTAATATCCATATGCAAATGCAGGACTTCAATTTAAAGTGTGCTTTTTCTGGCTGGATAAATGGCCTGAAAATGATAGGAATTGAATGAATAGTCTTGCACTAAAAGATAATTCAATAAACTTGTCTCAATGCCTTCCTTGTTGACTCACAGGCATGGATCACTTTGATTGGGGAAAAATTAGATGCCACACTAGAAAAAGTTGTGGGTGATGACATCTCTGCTGGAGGTCTAACAAGCATAGTTGGTGAAGACAAACCTGGAGAAATACTACTATGATATTCATGGCATCGGTTTGTGAGTAGGATTTGGAAATTGGAATAGGCTTGTTGGGTGATCTTCTTTAGCGCTCTATTAGTCATTAGTTGGGGGACTTTCTTTGACTCTTTGTTATCAGTGGAGCACAATTATATTTGTTGTATGGATGGATTTCTTATTAATTATTTTGTTTCCTAGATAGAAAGCTGCATAAGGAGATACTTCAGCGTTTCAGTGAGGTAAAAAAACGCAGAAAATTAGCATAAAAATGTCAGGGGGATAGTTTTTGGATTCCAGGGTGTGTTTTTGGGATATCAACAAACGTAATCAAAAACCCGTACACGTTTGTTCCATTCCTTTCACAGTCCGGTTCCTTTTTTTGAAATATCAGAGGGCTTTGATTACCAGCAGTGGTACTTAGCAAGGAAGCAATACATCCGTCCTCAGATTTATCTTGATACTGATTTTCCAGACACTCGTGTTCCAACTTCATTTTGGAATCATATGATCATAGAGTATGTCGCTATGTCAGTATGTGGTATCTCCATTATCATTCATTTATGTAGTGGATTCTTTCATTATAAACCCACTCTGGAAACATATATGATTCCATCATATATGTTTCCTTATTTTTGGGTTGCTTATATGACTAGTAAAAAACCAGTCTTGTAAGAATAATCAGAACGAATGTAATGAAACATTCATACCAAGGTTGTGTATGAAGGGAGTTTGCGAAAGACCGAGCCTCCCTCAGGAAGCAGAAGTTGCAAATTTACAATAAAAACATAAAAAAGTATTCATGGTCGTCATTTCACCACTCTCGTGTATACAAGACAATACAAGAACTATCATCATATAACCAAAATGTTACACAAGTACAGATATATGCAAAACAAAAACAAAGAAACATATCTATCCTGACTGCCCTATGGCGGATGGCCTCATCCTTGAGTCTGTAAAACAACCTTTAAAAAAACCTGACTGCTGAGCCCAATGTAAAATATGGGAGAAAGAATAGAGAGAAAGAATCATAGCTAGCTGTTCACCATCATCATGGACCAATCTCCCAGGGCAGCAAAGCCATGGAAGAGCGAGCAGCAAAGTTGGCCAAAATGAAGTCCCGAAGGCCGGTATCCCAGACCTCACAGAACTGTAAACGCCAATTGGGGGGCTGAATGGCCTCCGTCCCCAACCCAGGCGCTCTATCCCTCGACCCTTCATTTTGGTTCTCCTTCCAATCTGCAACGTACGTCGCCACTCTCCTGAAAAACTTGGCCCTAAAAACCTCCCACACCTGGTACTTGTAGTGGTTTATGACCGCCACGCCCTGGGGCAGATCCAAGTACTGGAACCCCTTCCTCAAGCGGAAATGGTGGACCACGTTCAGCAGCGTCGTGTCCAATGCATCCGGCCGCACGATAGACTTGTGCCTCTCTGGGTTCTTGAGCCTGCAGGTGTACCCCACAGTCACTCCCTGAGCCGGCGGGCGATCCAACCCAGACGGCCCGTAGCTGTGGCACACTGTTCTAATCTCTCCCACCTGCAACGACGGCGAAGAAGAGACAGTCATCACCAATTCCCGGAGGGCATTTTGAGAAGCGAACCCGGGCTTCCGGAACCTTCGACGTGCCGATGAATACGGAAGGTGGAAGAACTCATCAACGTCCATGAAGGCAACCCAATTGCATTCCTGTTTGGCCCTCAGGGCGCAATGCGAGAACCCAGCTTCCTGCGTCTTGATCCACGGCCAAACGTGCCTAGTGACGTTCAGGCTTCGCATATCGGGAAGGTCGATCAAGCTCTTGATCTCATCGTCGCTATTGTTGTCATAGATAAACCACCTCTCCACACCGAGCCAAGCGTGGTATGTGATCCACTCGCGCAGAGCGGATGCTTGGTTCCACACCATCGTACACACACAGAGTTCGCGCTTCTTGCCCCTTCCCTTGCCACTGGCAGATTCCAAGCTCGAAATCTCGGCCACAGAAGGGAAGACAATGCGGCGGCGGCTGTGTTCCTCTCCTGTGCGGACCCCGAGTGGAGATATCATCCCAATGGTCACGCTACTGCCCAATGCTTTCTCGGGAGACTTGTTAATTCTGGAAGGTAAAGAGCACCTGATGATCTCCTGGGCAGCTGTTATGGCCCTAGTCCAGACCTCGACCCTCTTCCCCAACCAGAAACGGCAACTGAATTGGCTGGGATTTGATTCCCTGTCTGGCCTCAAATTCAACCCTTTCACAAATACCACCGCAGTGTCCCCATCCAGTGCCGCTGTGTAGACCAGCTTTGACCAAGAGGCAGGCGCCGCAGTCAGATTTGCAGCCCTAAAACCATCTTTCACACCCCGCAAAGTTACCATGGCGGAATGGTTTGTGGGCGGGAGAGGGCACCTGAAAATGACTCTGGATTGATCATAATCATCCGCAGATGATACATTCAACGAAACTGCATTTCCTCCACTAACATACGCACACTCCAGTGTCTCCTCAGCGGACACCCCGCTATTTCTGGCCAGCAACAGAACATGATCCGGGAACAAAACCCGGCCCTCAATTCTGACCGGATGCAAAACACGACCGAAGCCTCGAAACGGTTCAACACCAGTAGTCGAAGAAGAAGAAGAAAGTAGAGAGAAGCTTGAAACAACCAATACGGGTCGGAAGGAGGAGGGAGTGATGGGGATTTTGAAGGAGAGAAGATACAGAAAGAGCAAGAAGCAGAAGAATAAGAGGAAAGACCTCACGGAGAGGAGATGGGGCAGCGGCGTCGATGGCCTGAGGAGGCGCTTGCGCTTGCGGCGTTGCTCCGACGAGTCCATATTCGGTTCCTTCCAAGAAGAAGGGAATTGTGCTTTTCTGGAGTGGGTTGGTTATTTTCTGCTTTAGTTGGATCTGATGATGATGGAGTAGTAGAGCAAGAAGGTCAGAAGCAGGAAGGAAGTTTTTTTTTTTTGATACGCGTTTGTTTGGATCAATAATTGGATTTCAAGATCAACGAGACAAGAGAAATAACTTGAAAATTAGAAATGGCAAAACCGTGCTACGTGGTGTGTTTTGAATTTACCTTTAAAAGTGCAACCTTTTTTAATTCAAGAACCGAACAAAGCATAGTATTTCAAAGATAAAAGCCAACGTGAATTTCGATTTCTTCGATTGGGTAATACTCCGTAATAAGAAAAGTAAAATTGTTACTTTTCTGACTGTATTGACTGAAGTTATTGTAGATGACTATTTTAGCTATTTTTATATGTAATTTTTTCTGTACTTTATTAATAAAATATATTTTCAATATAATTTTTTCATAAATTAGCAGAATCCGCCAATTCAGCCGCTCCAGCCAAAACTTCATAAATTTCAGCACAATTAGCCGATTCAGCTGATTTTGATATCACCAAGCGCGCACAAAATGTGCGTAGTATTCTCAAAAAAATTAGAGAGCATGTCACATGTTCTTTAAGAGCATCTCTATTCATGATTTATAATAATCATTTTTTTTAATAATTCTTACCATTTAAATATTGTTATTTAATTAAATTTAAAATAATCTCAAAATTCGTCTCTCAATCATCATCTTCAAATAATCTGCAATTTCTCTCTCCTGTGTTAATCTCTATTACATATACTTTTCAAATAATCTTAAAATAATCCGGATTCATATTTTGATCCCAAATATTGTGGTAAATAATCTCATTAAATAATATATGTCACTCAATGACAATTCTCTAAAAAACATTGTCATGTCAACAATTTAATCTCATAATAATCCTACCAATGAGGATGCCCTAATGAGCACGTAGCTCATCCTTACGGAGTTACAGTTAGGATGTTTTTACTTGGACTGTAATTTGCTGGTCTGGTCTGATAAAGTCTGGTTTCTTTGTATTTTTATAACTATCCAAGTCTGGTCTGGTCTGGTCTGGTCTGGTCTGAACTGGTCTGGTCTGGTCTGGTCTGATCTGGAACAAATTACAGTCCAAGTAAAAACATCCTTAATGGCTTCATGCTAAGGAAATAGTCTGTAGTAATTAGCTTTGATTATTGTGGAAATTACCCATAGAGTCAGCTTTTGTGTGTCATATATCATTTATGGCTCAACTATTTTTCTTTTTCTTTTTTAATTTTTTCTGTTTTCAAATGTTTTTTTTTCATTTCACTTTTAGACGGGACTGGATTCATTTTCGGCTAACTCCGAAATGAGGTCCCTTGCTTGGGAAGGGGTTTTGTTGACAATACCCCCTCCGCATGCCGCATTCACCATGCGTCAATCTTGATCAACAAGCCCATCATAGAAGTAGAGGATGAGATCTTGTTCCGAATACCCATGATATGGGCAACTAGCGCATAATTTTTTGAAGCGCTCCCAATATTCGTACAAGGTCTCATCATCTGCTTGCTCAATGTTGCTAATTTGCTTTTTGAGACTTGAAGAGATAGATGCGGGATAGTACCTGTCGAGGAAGCTCTTTTTCATTTGAGCCCATGTGTTGATGCTACCCGAAGGAAGGTAGAAAAGTCAATCCTTTGCGATGTCTTTTAAAGAGAATGGGAAGCTAGGCCCTTAGCTTTATTTGCTCCTCGGATACGCCATTGGGGCACATGCTTGTGCACACAATATGGAATTCCGATAGATGTTTGTTAGGATCTTCCCCCCGTAGGCCATGGAAAGAGGGAAGTAGATGAATGAGCCCAGATTTTAGCTCAAATGTGACCCCGTATCAAGAGTTGGAAAAGTGATACACAGGGGTTGTTGATTTAGATTTGGAGCTGTGAGCTCCCTCAATGTTCTCGTTTCATGAGCCATAGTGATTGGCTCTTCGGTCTCGCTAGATTGAGAACTAGCACTTGATGATTCTCCCGAGTCGGAGTTTGAGAACTTGTTTTTCAACCGCTCGAGAGTTTGTTCTATTTCGGGGTTTGAGTGGTATGTGATTTCGTTCAGTGAACGATATTTTACCATGTACTACAAAGCTCAGAAGAAATAGAAATCTTTATACTTGAATCATATTTTTTTTTCTTTTTCTTAAAATAAAATAAAAAGAAAAAAATTAATTGCCTTTCCCCGGCAACGGCGCCAAATTTGACGTGCACTTTGTCGTGAGTGCACTCAAAATAAATCGATACTAACACTTATACGTAGTATAGGTGAAGTAGAGTTCGTATCCACAGGGAAAGGAATAACTTTCTTTTTATGTAAATAGTAAATAAAAGGGGGGTTTTGATTGTTGAGTGATTAAATTAAATTAAACACGAAGATGAATGAGTTATATGGGATTAAATTCAAGAATAAAAGGGACTTGGTCTTGTTACTTTCCACTTGTTGATATATTTTAGTCGATCATTGTTATATCTATAACTTATCCCCTCTCGAATACTCAATCGAGGAGTATATCCAATTCATCGAGGGTAGTTATTAACAACGACCGTTCATTAATAA